CGGACAAGTCGAAAGCTTTCATTAAACACTTACAGAAATTATGAGATGTATTAAAAAAGATTCCCAGAACGCTAGCTGCGACGAGTTAATTTATAAAGCAGTACAACTATACAATCAATCAATTCACTCAACAGTAAAAAGGTAAATCAATAGATATATTTTTTGGCATTCGAGACGCATGAGATCCTCAGAAATTAGAATTGGAAAGGAAACAAATTAGAGAAAGAATTATCATGAAACAGGAAAAACATCTTGCTTATTACAATGCAAGAAGGAAAGAAATAAAAGATTACAAAGCGGGAGACGTAGTGTATGTTAAGATAGACAAGAGATTATGTTCAAAACTTACACCCAAATACAAAAAAGAAATAGTAGCTGAAAATGGTAATACTTAAAACAACCTGAAGTAAAATTCACAAAAATAATATAAAAACATAACGTTACTTCCTAGGTTATTCCTACCAACATGCATTGGGCTAGAAACCATTCTGGATTATTCAAACTCGCAGCTCATTCCAATAAAAACGGGATCCGCAGCGATTAGTAATGGGCATTTCAAGATCATCCACGTTTTTGATATGGGGGAATACGAAAATGCCCTCAAAATTTTGGAAGAGACCCTAAAAACCATAAATTCCACACACGAGAGAAAACTCTGAGAAAACTTAGATCTTCAAGAAGGGTCCCGAGGGCATCCCCACAGCTCTTGCAACTACTGACACGACAAAGCAAAATAGAAGAAGTACTTTCACTTCACATGTTGCAAGAAATTAACATTAACAATACAAAGCAACTTGAAGTGGGGTCGCCATATTGCGATTATTAAAGCAGAGACAAGTGACTACAGTAAATCAAGTCACGGTGGAGGCGGGAACCTCAAGAACTATGAACATAACCTCCGATAAAGCGGCGCAGACGCAAAAACGATTTTATATTTCGTCCGAGGACGTTAATAACAGACGTTACACCGATACCAAAGTTTTGAACAGTGCAATGGGCAGATCAAGTCAATCAGGTCTTCGGCGCATGCACTGCATCCGCCACGTGCGCTGGGTCAGCAGATTCCAGCAAGCACCACCGTGAGACCGTCTGGGATACCCTACACCCCAATATATATATAGATTGTGACATTGAGGGCTAGTAGTTTCTAGAAATAAACACTGTAAAATTTAACAACGACATACATACAGTCCTCACTTATAAGTGCAACTTGTCCGGAAACGCTGATATGTACATACATAAGTACATTTTATTTTTTGATGCAGGCGCTATCTATCCTCATATGCATGTAAATACATGTACACACATACTTGTATAAGTGTATGTTTTCAATTGTACAGTTCATCACTTATCCATATGTGTTTTTTGGAATATGAATGTTGTGAGTGTAAATGGCGTGTTTCAGATTTTGTAAATCGCAAGAACACATTCAGGAAATAAGGTTAACGCTTAATGTCTCCCAGAATTCTTCAGAATATATTTGTAGAGTTGACGCAACCTTTTAACACAAACGGTAAATCGCTTGACCGATATATGTACATAATATTACTTTTTCGTAAAATATTAATTTATTTTATGCAAATGTTTCTAACATTAACATTGTTATTTTTTGGACATGCGCTCTAAATCCCTTGCTTTTATCAACAATAAAATACATATGGGCATTTCCATGATGTCGCACGGGACAGTCGTACATATTTAAACTGAAACAAGTAAAAAAGCTAAAGTCGGGTGTCCCGACTTTGAAATACTCTGTACATATGTTTACAATAATTATAGAAAATAAAAAAAATAAGAAAAAAAAAAAGATCGATTTTACCTCTCTCGGTATTCGAACTCACGTAAAGGGTGTATAATTGCACATTTACATAGCAATTGCGTCTGTGTGAGTGTATGTATGCCTATTCGCATCTATTCCTGTGTGTGTAAACATGTGTGCAGTCAACCAAAGCACCAGCATCAACAGCCGCGGGCAGCGCTGCAGCAGCAAATATATTTATGGCTATAACTTCTTGTTAAATCGGTCTATCATAATGAAACTTGGCATACACATAATAACTAACTGGGGGCATTTTAGTTCGAAATTCCAAGAATTACGGGAGTTAGAGAAAATCGCATTTGCGGGGGAGAGGGAGGGAAATTCCCAAATATAAATTTTCTGCGCATTCACACAAGGCATCTTGGACTAAAATTTGGTGTTCCTAGGTTTTATAGTCTCCGAGATATAGGCGATTATACGAATGGAAAATCGGGATAAATCGGAGGCGTGGCAGACCCCACAAAGTATATATATTATTGATCAGGATGACAAGACGAGTCGATATAGCCATGTCCGTCTGTCCGTCCGTCCGTCTGTCTGTATGAGCGCAAGGATCTCAGGAAGTACAAGAGCTAGAATAACCAAACTTGGTATCGGTTCCCCTAAGTCCTATGCAGGTCAAGTTTATTTTTTAATTCTGATACACCTCCCCACTCCCCCGCTATTCGTGTTTTTGTTTATAAATTCCGTAATTCTTGGAATTTTGAATTAATTGGTAGGTACATCCAGCTAGTACTAATGTTTCATCATGATAGGTCAATTGTGAAGAAAGTTATAGCCATAAATAAAATCGCTGCTCATGCGCTGCCTGCAGCTCTGCCGGCAACGCTGCCCGCAGCTGTTGTTGTTGTTGCTGCTGCTTTGGTTCAACTTTGTGCTGCATACATACACTCATATAAACACGCATAGGTACGTGATGTAAATGTATGCTGTTAAAACTGAACAAAAACATGTCTTCTAATTTACTTTAATTACTTAATTAATTAATTCATTTTTTTAATAATTTATTTTTTTTTAATTTTTTTTGTTTTTTTTTTTTTTAATTTTCCTTTTTTGTGGAGAATGCAGGCTATTTTACTGTCGGGCTTGCTCGACTGTAGCGTTCTCTCTTGTTTTTCTTCTTTTTTTGCTACTTCATTAGGTCATTCTTCAATTTTTCTCTTCATCGCCTGCACGCCTTTTTTTCTCGCTGCTATTTTTATTCATCTATGTACATTTAAATAATTTAAAATTTTGTATAAGCAGAAAAAAAACATTAAAAATAATAATTAATTTATAAATTTCACACTTACGATGTCGGACGTGACAAACTTATTATTATCTTATTATTTTTTATCAATTTTTTTTAAATATACTGTATTGTTAATTACTATTTGTGATCAGTATTTCAAAATTTACAGTTATCTGCATTGCGTGGTCTCTTATGCAGTCTTTTTTGACTCTTTGTGATTCCAGGAAGATTTTAACTAGACAAAGTCAATGAAAAATATTTGCGGGCCTTTGCATTCGAATATCTTGAAACGGGCTATTCAAAATTTTAATTATTATTTAAATTAGTTAAATTTGATTGTTTCTCTATAAGAATATGATAAAAACAAGTAAAAAAGATAAAGTGTACCGACTTTGAAATACTCTGTACATATGTTTACAATAATTATAGAAAATAAAAAAAATTAAGAAAATTAAAAAAACAATTTTTGATCGATTTTACCTTTTTCGGTATTCGAACTCACGTAAAGGGTGTATAATTGCACATTTACATAGCAATTGCGTCTGTGTGAGTGTAAGTATGCCTATGCGCATCTATTCGTGTCTGTGTAAACATGTGTGCAGTCAACCAAAGCACCAGCATCAACAGTCGCGGGCAGCGCTTGAGCAGCGCTGCAGCAGCAAATATATTTATGGCTATAACTTCTTGTTAAATCGGTCTTTCATATTGAAACTTGGCATACGGACACATAATAACTAACTGGGGGTATTGGCAAAATTTTAAATTCCAAGAATTACGGGAGTTACGATTTGCATGGGAGAGGGGGGAGGGAGGGAAATTCCAAAATACACAACTTCTGCGTATTCACATAAGGCATCTTGAACTAAAATTTTGTGTTCCTAGGTCTTATAGTCTCCGTGATATAGGCGATTATACGAATGGAAAATCGGGAAACCCCCATAGGGGGGAAGTGGGGGGGGGGATTCAAAAAAATAAAACAAACTCGTATAGAATACACACATAAGGCATCTTTGTGCAAAATTTGGTGTCTCTATCTCTTATAGTCTTGAGATCCAGGTGTTCATACGGACGGACAGACAGACGGACAATGCTAGATCGACTCGTCTTGTCATGCTGATCAAGAATATATATACTTTGTGGGGTCTGCCACGCCTCCTTCTGCCTGTTACATTTTTCAGCTCCCGCAAACCTAATATACTTCTGTACATTTCATGTACAGAGTATAAAAACCGAGTATGCAGTTTCATTTGTATTCTTTTATTGATTTTAGAAACCACTTTTTAAGTCGATCGGTTGAAAAATGTGGATTTTTTAAACAAACTTTGGAGCTTGTTTTCCCCCTTTGGAAGTCGTATTTTCCAACATCCTTTCTTAGTGGGCACCTACACTATGAAAGGATACTTGAGTCCAAATTTCAGTTTCCTAGCTTTGGGCTGTGCGTTGATCACCAATCAGTCAGTCAGGACAAACTGTTTTATATATATAGATAACTGTAATAGGAATAATTAGACAACGTTTATTTAGATATTGGGTTTGCAGCACTTTAACAACTAATAACTGCTTAATGCTCTCATAAACAATTGACATCATGATAAAACATGAGTATAAATATCAAGTGGAAATAATAAAGTTGGGTACCTTGACTTTGCAATACTCTGAACCTATGCGTGTCTGTGTGCAGACACTGTGCGCAGTATAAAGTGGAGCCAAAGCACATATCATCAGAATCAGAATTACAGGAGTTATGGAAAATCTCTAATAGCGTGGGAGGGGGGCAATTCGAGTTTAGTTATTCTAGCTCTTGTACTGTATATTCTTTGTGGGGCCTGCCACGTAGCCTTCTGACTGTTATATACTATACATTCGCATTAATCTAGTATACCCTTTTACCCTTTGGGTACAAGGTATAACCATACGCAGATATAAATATATTTTGAGTCATTTACTTACCTTAGGTAATGCAGATCACTAACTTCTTTCATACAAAGCCAACAAAACTCAGCACCACATAGGGAGCATGCCATATGATTACACGATCCATCATTCATTTTAACAATTAAAACTCGACATCTGGGGCATGGCTTTATTTCGTCGGTTCCTCCTGAATCTTGAATAAAGTTAATTGATGATCTATTAAAAAATGCTTGACGTGAACTTCGAGCTGCGTCGCATGTTTGATCTGGATGCCATATGTCTTTACAGTGATAGCAAAAACTCATTCCGCATGTAGGGCGACCGCATTGAATTTCTGGGCACGACGCACAGCCCGTAGCAATCACAGCAAAACTGAAATTGTTGATTTGATATTATTTAATAGGCAAATCAATTGAACCGTGCAACTCATTGTAACCTGGACAAATGAACCCTAAAAAATTGATCTTATACAAGAATATAAGATAGGATATACTTATAGAAACAAAATGCAGCTATTGCTATAAATTAGATTAGATAACGTTTTTTCTTTTAAAAGCCAACAAGAAATAGAATGTCATCTGAAAAGGTGTTCAGTGACACGTTGTCATTAACGAAGTTGTCATTACACAATATTAGATAGAAACAAGTAGAGAAGCTAAAGTTTACATATATATGTACATATGTTTAGAATAATAAGAAAACCAGAAAGGAATGCTAAAGTCGAGCGGACTCAACTCTTAAATACCCTGTACCACCCACATTGAAAAAATTTCATTAATTAATAAATTAAATATAAGATATTCATCACATGCATACACACATAAGTTTTTTGTACAATTTTAACATCATACATTTACATCAGGAATCATATCTATGCTTGTATTCATTAAAGAAATAAGTCATAGCAGCAGCAACAACAGCTGCAGGCAGAGATTATGTTTATGACTATAACTTTCTTCACAATTGACCTATCATGGCATACAGATACATAATCACTATCTGTAGGTATTTGAGTACAAAATTTCAAAAATTACGGGAGTTATGGAAAAAACGAATTGCGCCCATACAGGCGGACGAACCGACATGGCTATATCGTCTCGTCTTGTCATCCTGATCCTCCTTCTGTGTGTTACATACATTCGCACAGGGTATAGGCTATAACAAATTTTTTTATCTACTTGTATAATTACACATCTATATAAAAATTGCGTCTATGTGAGTGTATGCATGTCTATGCGTGGCTATTCGTGCCTGTGTGAGCATGTTTGCAGTCAATTTATGGCTATAACTTCCTGTTAAATCATTCTATCATAATGTCCATACGGACACATAATAACAAACTGAGGGTATTCGCAAAATTTGAGTTCAAAATTCCAAGAATTACGGGAGTTATGGAAAATCACGGATTGCGTGGGAGAGGGAAATTCCAAAATACGCATTTTCTGCGTATTCACAAAAGAATCTTGGAATAAAATTTGGTGCTCTTAAACTTGCACAGCATACACACATAGGAATCTATGTGCAAAATTTGGTGTCTCTAGCTCTTATAGTCTCAGATCCAGGTGTTCATACGGACAGACAGACGGACAGACTGACAGACAGGGCTAGATCGACTCGTCTTGTCACGATGATCAAGAATAAATATATGTGGCAGACCCCCACGCCTGTTCCTTTTTTCATCTCCCGCAAACGTAATATAAGTTAACACTTTAGTTACTCAAAACGCCAACATTGAGTACCAAATTGTCGCACTGACCGACGCACGTGGCAAATCAACGTGCTGGGAAATGCTGACATAAAGTGTTGGGTGTCCAATTCGGTGCATACGGGGTCAACGCGCTGGCAAGCCAGCTACCGTGGGATCGCAACCTCAGCGATTCTCGGTGCAACGTCGACGCCGACGTCAACGTAGGAACGTTGGGACAAAGGTTTCGTTAGGGCTTAGCTTAAATATTAAGGCCAGTTTGTAATCAGCTCGAAAAGAAGCACATAGTGCTGTAATAAATATTTTTTTATATCAAATAAACTTAAAATTGATTAATTGGCGCCCGAGCAGGGACCGCGGTATATAATTCGAAAAACATAAGACCATAAGGGTCTGTAGTGTTAAAAAAAAAGTCCGCGAGTCAACTATAAAAATCTCGTGATACTGGCTCCCTAGTAGTCTACGTGAAGTAGTACAAAAGGGAAGGACGTAGGTCCTAGCCATCCGGGATCGGTCAAATCACACATATAAAGAACAAAAAGTGCATACAGAAATTATAACGAGAACACAAGTGAATATCGAAATTGTTTACCCTTCATTAATAAATCTACATAAGAAGTGAAAAAGAGTGTATACTGGAAGTAAAAACAAAAAACAAAAAAAAAAAACAAAAAAAAACAAAACAAAAAAGAAACACAAGTGAACACAAAACGAAGTTGCCTAAACAGAAGAAAGAAGGAAAGAAATCAAATCAACGACTACAAATTTAAAGACATCCAAACATCCTCATTCCGAATACATTGAAGACAGCCGAGTGCATCTGAAGACAGCCCAATACATCAGAAGAAATCTATCATCAGAAGACATCTATACAACCGGACTATGGCTATTAAGTTATTCCTAGCAACATTAATGTAAGTCGTTGTTATCTTTGTTAAATTATAATTCACTATAAAAAGTAAACCAACTCATATGAACCAGGAAGAAAATTTATCAGAATATTTAGCCAAAATGTCGTTAAACAACATGCCCTTAACTACTAACCCCTCCAGTTCATCCCCACTAACTCTATTTTCGCCATCTCAAAAACTTGAATTAACAAACCTTATTGAGCAAATAGTTCAAAAAGCAACAAATCCGGTCATAGAAGAAGAACAAGAACCTCAAATTGATTTTAATAGGAATTTAGCTGATTCTGAAAAGGTGCCAGATATAGTGAAAAGCCTAAGAGAATTTTCAGGAAAGGCCAGCGAATTCAGCTCATGGAGGAAATCGGTAGACAGAATTCTAAAAATGTACGAAGGTCAGAAAAATTCGCCAAAATACCTTGCTATTTTGCATACAATTAGGCATAAAATTATCGGCGAAGCCGATACTGCGCTGGAGTCATATCGTACACCTCTTAACTGGGTGAGAATTAGGCGTTGTCTGATGCAACATTACGCGGATAAGAGAGATATTGGTACTCTAGAATACCAATTAAACACATTAGTGCAAGGCAGAGATAACATAACATGCTATTATCAGAAGATCTATGAAATTCTTTCACTGATTCTAGACAAAATTGATTGTTTAGAGTATCAGGAAGAAGCCTTGTTGGCAATGACAAACTCTTACAGGGATAAAGCATTAGACACGTTTATAAGAGGATTAAACGGTAACTTGCCAAGTTTGTTAAGTGTTAATAGACCTACAAGCTTGCCAGAGGCCTTGAATATTTGCCTTAAGCTAGAAAATTTGAATTACAGATCGTTTCAGGCTAATACCATGCATAGCAGTTTATCGCAGTATGCCAGACGTGGTCCTCAGCCAAATTACTATAATGGTGTAGGTAGACAATTACCTCCAAGACCAGTCCGTAGCTTTTTTCCGGAGTTAGCTCATTTTGGTCGGGGTAATCCTAGGTTCGCGCAACAGCAACCACAATTTCCACCCGCACTACCGCCAAGACGGCAACCTCCACCTACTCCAATGGAAGTAGATAGTTCAATCCAAACGCGTCAAGTAAACTATCAGAATAGACCTCAACAAAATTTTTCTAACTCAGCAAGACCACAACAATATTTTTCAAATGTAGCGAGGCCACAGCATTTTTTCAATCAACAGGCACCACAAAACTCATACAGGCAACAGAACAACGAAATACAAAAAAGGCCGCATTCACAAATAAGCCATCAACCAAATAAGCAGCAAAGAGTTTTTAATGCAGAAGCACTTGTTCATTATGAACAAGATTACGAACCGGAATATGATACTGATGAGGCAGGTCAAGAATTTGCAGATGAGAAACATTTACAAAAAAGCTACGAAATTGCTGACGATGTTAATTTTTTAGACTAGCTTCCTCCTCATTACCTTATTATGAGTTTGAAATGAGGAATGGAAATAAACTAAAATTTTTGACAGATACAGGTTCAAATAAAAACTATGTTAAGCCAGCACTTATTCGAGAACCCATCCGCAATGAAGTTCCATTTGCAGCAAAGTCGATTGGAGGCGACGTTAATATTACACATCATGCTTATATAGATATATTTGGCAACAACATAAACAAGCAAAAATTTTTTTTACTACCTAATCTTAAGACATTCGATGGTATTATTGGCCACGATACAATGAAGGAATTAAAGGGTATAATTAACACACATAAAAATCATTTTACATTATTAGGGAAGTATAAATTTAACACGAAAGAATTACCAATGACACGCATTGCTAACATAGAACTTAGACTTTCGCATTTAGATGAGAAGGATAGCCAAGTAATTGAAGAAATAGTTCATGAATGTCCAGGTCTTTTTGCCGAACCTGATAAAAAACTCACTTTCGTTACTCAAGTCAGGGGGGAAATAAGAACAAAAACCGATACCCCAGTTTATTCAAAACCCTATACTTATGCTATGGGTTTAAAAGAAGAAATAGACAGCCAAATAAAGGAATTATTAGATAACGGTATTATTCGTCCGTCAAGGTCACCTTATAGTTCTCCAGTTTGGATAGTACCGAAGAAGGAAGATGCGTCAGGAAAGAAAAAATTTAGAATGGTGATCGACTATAGGAAGTTGAACGAACTAACAATCCCAGATAGATACCCAATGCCAGAAATAAATACTATCTTATCCAATCTTGGCGAGAACAAGTTCTTTACAACTATCGATTTAAAAAGCGGGTTCCATCAAATAGCGCTAAAAGATTCTGATATTGAAAAGACAGCCTTCTCAATAAATAACGGAAAATTCGAGTTTTTAAGACTCCCATTCGGGCTACGCAATGCCCCAGCAATTTTCCAGAGAACGCTAGACGACATATTAAGGGATCACATAGGTAAACGATGCTATGTTTACATAGACGATATCGTTATATTTGGAAAAACAAAAGAAGAACATTTCAGCAACTTGCGATTGGTTTTTGAGACATTGGAAAAGGCAAATCTTAAAGTCCAATTGGATAAATGCGAATTTATGAAAGATAATTTAGAATTTTTAGGTTTTACTATTAGTAAAGATGGATTAAAAACTAGCCCAAAAAAAGTAAATGCAATAGTTAATTTCCCCAAGCCAAAAACTATACATGATCTTCGCTCCTTTTTGGGAATGTCTGGATATTACCGTAGATTTATTAGAGGATATGCAGAAATAGCAAAGCCATTAACTTCGCTTCTTAGAGGAGAAGCTGGTAGAGTCTCAAAAGCAGTCTCAAAACGAACATTCATAAACCTAGATGCAAAACAGACAGAAGCCTTTAAACAAATTAAGAATTGCCTTATTTCTGAAGATGTTGTTTTACATTTTCCCAGATTTAATAAACCTTTCGAATTAACCACAGATGCATCAAATTATGCATTAGGTGCTGTGCTCTCACAGGGCGGCAGACCAATTACATTCCTTTCAAGAACACTGAGTTCTAAAGAAGAGAACTACGCAACAAATGAGAGAGAAATGTTAGCGATCATTTGGTCACTTCGAGAACTACGTTGTTTTCTCTACGGTGTTGGTAAACTCAAAATTTTTACAGACCATCAGCCATTAACCTTTGCCCTTAGCAACAAGAACACGAACGCTAAAATGAAAAGGTGGAAGGCACAGTTAGAAGAGTATAATTATGAACTTGTCTATAAGCCAGGAAACACAAATTTGGTTGCAGATCTTTTATCCAGGCCACCAAGGAGCCAAATAAATTCTTTAACTCCGACGGTACATAGCAGCGAAAGCTCATCCGAACATTTGATTCATTCAGTAGAAATACCAATAAATGCATTTAAAAATCAAATATTTTTGCAGTTGGGTGACGAATCCTCATACAAATTTCAGATTATATTTCCAACCTATCATAGGCATTCCATTGTTGAAAAAGATTACACAGAGGATCAGCTTAAAAACTTATTAAAACGTTATCTAAATCCATCGGTTATTAATTGTATAAAAACACCAGAGACAATCATGCTTAAGATTCAGAATATTTACCCAATCCATTTTGCAGCATATAAAGTCCGTTTTAGTCAAATTGTAGTTAATGATACGAACAAGAACAGCAAAACATTATTATAAAGACCCATAACAGAGCTCATAGAAACGAACAAGAAAATAGACTTCAAATATTAGAAACGGACTACTTTCCTTCAATGAGAAGAAAAATTCGCAAAATTGTAAGCTTATGTAAAATCTGCAAAGAAAACAAATACGAGAGACACCCGAATAATACAAAACTTGGTAATACGCCGATACCAGAATACCCAGGTCAAATCTTACATGTAGACATATTCTCGACTAACAAAAAGTTAGTTCTTACATCTTTAGACAAATTTACAAAATTCGCAGTTGTTAGGTCTCTAGAAAACAAAAGTGTAGAAGCAATTAGGAAGCCTTTAAGAGAAATATTATTCTACTTCGGCGTGCCTAAATCTGTTATAATTGATAACGAAAAATCGCTCAATTCACAAGCAATAAAATTTATGCTTGAGAACGAATTAGGTATAGAAGTTTTTAATACTCCACCACACAAAAGCACAGTGAATGGACAGGTGGAAAGGTTTCATTCGACACTGATAGAACTTATGAGATGTTTAAAACAAGAAAAAAATATTGAGGATTTTGACGAGCTCATGGAAGTTGCTGTATGTGAATACAACCACAGTATTCACTCTACCACAGGGAAGAAGCCGATAGATTTGTTTTTTGGCAGACCCACCACCTTTGGGCCATCTGAATACGAAAAGACTAGGAATAATAACTATGAGAAACTGATACAGAAACAGCAAAAAGATTTACAGTACCATAATAAGAATAAAAACGAGGTAATACAATATGCACCTGGCGAAAAAATTGTTGTGAAACAAAATAATAGAATAGGGACTAAGATGTCAAAACGTTTCAAAGAAGAAATAGTAAAAGATAACAAACATTCAACAGTCACTACACAGTCAGGAAAAGTTGTCCATAAAAATCATATAAGAAATTAAAAGATTGCTCTTTCTTTTATTGTTACCAGGTTCATTATGCGCTGCAATGCCACATATGAAATCTTGGACTATACTAAGGCCGAGGTAGCAATTATCGAACTCGGCGATAGCAAAGTTCAATCAGGAAATTTTAAAATTCTGCACCACATTAATATTACCGAGTATAAACTTACTATAGACCAGATACAACACGATTTGCTCAATAATATCTCCCTAGCAAACCCACTTTTTCCCTTCATTAAAAAAGAAATTGAATTAGTAAAGTTCCAAATTAACAAACTAACCTCCCACTCCATAAGAAAAAGGGCAATAAATGAGATCGGATCCGTATGGAAATGGATTGCTGGTAATCCAGACCATGAGGATTTCGAAATGATAACTAATAAATTAAATGATGTCATAAGCAATAATAACAAGCAAGTAATTATAAATAAAGACATCATACAAAGAATCAATAAATTAACAGAAGATAACAATGTTATAATAGAAAGCATAAGAAATTCAGAAAATTTCCAGAACATTTTTGCCACACAGCTAAAGTATAAGATAGATTTAATAAAAGAAGATTTAAGTAATATCAATCTTGCCATTCATTTATCAAAGGCAAATATAGTAAATACCTTTTTAATATCGGAAGAAGAAACCGAAATAATAAACAGCATTTTCACAGAAGAAAATATTCCGTTTAATAATATAGAAGAAGCTCTAAATTTTGCTGATATAAAAATCGCATTTAATGGCGAAAAGTTAATTTATATTATCGACATTCCAAAATTAAATAATGAAATATGTAAACATTTACTCATCAAACCATTAAAAAAGATGGGAAAGGTATTAAAGATAAAAGACGAAAATGTCATTAAATGTAAAAATGCAGTCTTTTCAACTAACAACCAATGCAAAAAAATTAATAAAATCAGTATGTGCTTAAGATCAAATATTGTAGATATTTCAAATGACAACTGCATTTCAAAGTTAATAACAAATAGACCAAACAATTGTACCATCATTAACGATAATCACATAAAAGCAATAGAACTAATAGATACAGGTATTCTTCTTCTGAACAACTTTAGTGGTAAGATTTCAAGTAATAATGATTCCCAAACACTTAAGGGATCGTTCATAATTAAATTTAATAATTGTACATTAGATATAGAAAATCAGTTTTTTTTCATCATACGAAACCTCTAGCTATAAGCCGCTACCAGCTATGATTCAACTGGAGAGGCCGCTGACAACGATGGAGGAGGTTCTATCCCTACAACTGATGAAGGACCTGAACATCAAAAATACAGAAAGGATAAGTGCTCTGCAAGCTAACCTCAAGGCAAACACATTCTCAAGTATTGGGATATCAGGCGGAGTTGTGTTTGTGTTCATCACCTACGTAGTAAAGCTAAAGATGAGCGGACCGAGCACAAAAGTAGTGGAGAAACAAAGCAATCCCTCAAGCGAAGTGCAGCGCCCAGAGAGGATCAGCACGGCAGAAACTCCCTCGGAAAGCCATACTAAAAAACCTAGAAGCATCCATGATCTCCCCGGATTTTAATTCATCGACCGGGACGTTCGAGATCAGGGAGGGAGGAGTTAACACTTTAGTTACTCAAAACGCCAACATTGAGTACCAAATTGTCGCACTGACCGACGCACGTGGCAAATCAACGTGCTGGGAAATGCTGACATAAAGTGTTGGGTGTCCAATTCGGTGCATACGGGGTCAACGCGCTGGCAAGCCAGCTACCGTGGGATCGCAACCTCAGCGATTCTCGGTGCAACGTCGACGCCGACGTCAACGTAGGAACGTTGGGACAAAGGTTTCGTTAGGGCTTAGCTTAAATATTAAGGCCAGTTTGTAATCAACTCGAAAAGAAGCACATAGTGCTGTAATAAATATTTTTTTATATCAAATAAACTTAAAATTGATTAATTTATACGCTTGTACATTTCATGTGCAGAGTAAAGGGTGTAAGACTGTCCAATTGTATCGGCATTGTGTCTAAATGCGGTTGTATGCACCCGTACTCATGGGTGCAGGAAGGAGGTAAACCAAATCAGCAGAACTAGAATAGAGATTACATATGTCTTGTATATGCCTAGAACTTTCTTTAAAATTGGCTTATCACGATGAAACTTGACAAATGAACACAAAAGCTAGTAATTGTCAAATTTAAATTACCTACGTTTTGGAAAATGAGTAATAGCGGGGGAGTGGTTTTTAGTTTTTATAGTCTTTGGGATCTAGGTGTTCATACAGACAGACTGTGGTAAATCATGGAACCAAAATTCAAGTTTAATAACATTTTAGTCGTAACAGATAATAGTTATATTTTACTTACTTGCAGTCTGGAGCTGGGCACCATCGACTATCAGGATCCGATACTAGGTACCTTCTTATCATGAAGTCCTGGTATTTAGATTTAATATCAATAAGATCATGCAGTATAAGTTCGATATCATTGGGATGTATTTCACATGAACACTGTGGACATGCTAAATAAAAAACCATATATATTTATTATGAACATTTTTAGATTTGATCAGTAAATGTACCTATATTAGTTCGAGACTCACTGATTTCATGCCCGATGTATTTGATTAGGCATTCAACGCAAAATTTATGTCCACATATCACCAGCTGAAAAAACGCGATTTCTGAACACTCATTTATAAAACAAATATTACAAAGCAATTCATTTTTATTAGACCCTCCGGTGAGACACTGGTCATTGGGTAATTTAATAGTAGTGGTGAAAGGAGCATCATTTGTTTCCTATAATGAAGTTAAATGACGAAATAGCGCTCTTCTTTTGTATTTTACAGCTGAGCATATTACCAATTGAATATTTTCCGCTTTAACCGATCCGCACTCCACATCCTTTTTTTTAGTTCGGCCACCTTCTGTAAGTCGACATGTTCTCAGAATTATTGCTCGCACTGAAAAACTGTCCACTGATTCTGTGCACTTTGACATTTCACCTGAAACAAGAAAAAAGTTTCAAATATAATACCAAACAAAAGTATTAACAAGAGATAATACTGCAGCTTGGGGGCGTAGTACTGTACCCTTTTTACCTTACGGCTACAGGATATATACAGCTGTTGACAAATTATTAACAACGACTAGAATTGAAGGGCATTTTTCGACTCTCATAATAACTACAGTTGATCTAACAGTACCTAAGCACCACTTACCTCTTTTTTAACTATTCCATTTTATAAATGTGTCGCAGTTTTAATGTGCATAGCAACATTCAATTATTAATTTAGATTTTTAAGTTGAGTTGAAAATAAAGCACATACAATTCGTACGTAAAGGCAGATACGTATTTAGGTTGTGTCGATTACATATTTAAATTTAAATAATTTTGTTAATGTGGCAACATTCTGCTATTATTAGCAGGATCTGTAGCCAACAGCTGTTAATAACATTGGTTGACAAAGAGAGGGCGGATAGAATTAAGTTAAGAAAATTGAAGTGTAAAAGAATTAGGCTAAGTTAACTGCTTAGATGACGTGTAAACTGTACTTGGAAAAGTGATTTATTGGAAAAGGAAAACCAATGACACCTCACTGCGAGTTTTACATTGGTCCTTCGAGTTGGTCTCTCTCTCTGCACCTCCATCCCAAGCCCACGTTTTGATCAAATGCGTCATACTAGCAGTTGCCATTGCACAAATACATGATTTACGCGTTTACCTGCTTCAACACCCTCCTTATTATCGGAACCTAGTCCCAGCTGACTTATTTGTATTCACTAAGCAGAATTTTCATCTAATAAGGAGGCTATTACTTTCTGACCAATCATTTTGAGGTGGAAAACAGCGAATACTGTTTTAAGTGGTTGGAGAGAGCACCTCTGGGTGCAGTTTTATATATTTGTGTTTTATTTTAAGTATTTTAAACAATTTGCTTAATAATGAAACTGCACACACTTAACTAATAAACAAGTGGAGAAGCTAAAGTCCGGTGTCTCGACTTTGAAATACTCTGTACATATTGTGTCTATGTGAATGTATGCATGTCTATGCAGCGCTTGAGCAGAGAGAACCTATATATGGCTATAACTTCCTTTTCAAATTTTTCAAATTTGAGTCAAAAATTCTGAGAATTAAGGGAGTTGTGGAAAATAGTAAATAGCGGGGGAGTGGGGGGTGCATCCGAAAAAAAAATAAACTCGTCCTTTCTTGGACTTAGAAGAATCTGCATACCAACTTTGTTTATTCTAGCACTTATACTTTCTGAGATCCTTGCGTTCATACAGATGGACGGACAGACAGACAAACGGACATGGCTATATCGACTCGGCTTGTTACACTCATGAAGAATATATATACTTTGTGGGGTCTGCCACGCCTCCTTCTGCCTATTACATACTTGATCATTCTTTAATAGTTTCGCTCACCTTGTTCCTTTGTCATAGCATGACTTTTTAGATTGCATTCTTGAACTCTCTTTAGTTCAAATAAATCCAATATACCATAACCTTCATAGATATTTCGATTTGGTTAATGTTAATGATATCACTAATGTTGTTGTTTCTAGATCTTCTTCTTTAACACTGCCTGAAGATATTGATCATCCTACTCTAGAAATTTGTCTTCCCTTTTCTAGATTTAGTGCATGGTCTTCTGAGTGTAACATGCCTCGTAAATGTTTTCCCAAATGTGATTTTGTTATGCTTAACCGTTTGATTCCTAATGCTAATTGGTCTTTCTTGTATAGCTCCGTTGATATAGATGTTGATTCAAAATTTTTTATGACACCATGTATTCCATCTTCGATGTCTGTGTTCCCAATAGCGTCGCCTCATTTTCTTCTCTTATGCCCCCGTGGTTTACGCGTAGACTTTCTAACGTAAAAATCATAAAATTCAGATGTTTGAAAAATTTCAAGCAATTGGGCTAGGTGTTGACTTCTCTAAATATTATTCGTACTTATAAAATAGGTAGTCATCTTGGCTCCCTATTATTCACTCTATTTATTATCTCTCTATCCTGATGAATTCCCGTATACTAATGTATGCCGATGATGAAGCTAATTTTTTCGTATAAAGATCTTCTTTATCATTCTCGTCTGCAGTACGATCTAAGCTGTGTTCAATGGTGGTGATTGGTCAACTGCCTGCACCTTAACTGTTCTAAATGCAAGTTTATGACTTTTCACCGGTCCAGACCATATCAAGGTACTTATGCGATTGACAATATACCATTTTAACGTATATTTACAGTTGAAGATCTTGGAGTTATTTTTGATCCCAAATTGAATTTTAATCTTCTACTATCGTTAACAAAGCTAGGGGTGCTCTTGGTTTTATTAAACGATGGTCCAGAACTTAAAATACTGTGTTATGTACATACAAGTATATGTATTTTATTGTTGAAAAAAGCAAGGAGTTTGGAGCGCATATCCAAAAAATTACAATGTTAATGTTAGCTACATTTGCATAAAATAAATTAATATTTTGCGAAAAAGTAAAATATATATTATGTACAAATACAAATATTCTTAAAATTGGACTACCATATACATATGTATACAAGCATAAATTAAATAGCAAATTCTCCTAATAATTCGATTTAAAAAGAAAAATTTGTGTATCCATTCACCGTGCATACGGATTCGTGTATTTTTACAGCCAATTAAGTGATCGCGCTTTGACGGGCCGGAAAAAGCCGACACATGCCCATCTCTAGCATATCAGCTGATTGCATATTTACAAGCGATTTACTGTTTGTGTTAAACGTTCATATTCAAACAAGATAGAACACTATAGTCGAGCAATCGCTATAGTAAAATAACGTGTCTCTAAAAAAAAAAAAATATAAATAAATAAATAAAATAAACTTAAAAAAAAAAATATTAATAAAAAACAAGTAAAAAAGCTAAAGTCGGGTGTCTCGACATTGAAATACTCTGTACATATGTTTACAATAACCATACATAGAAATTAGAAAATTAAAAAAAAAAAAACTTTGACTTTGAAATACTCTGTACATATGTTTAGAATAATTATAGAAATTAAAAAAAAGTAAGGTAATAAAAAAAAATTTTTTGATCGATTTTACGTCTTTTGGTATTCGAACTCAAGTAAAGGGTGTATAATTGCATATATACAAAGCAATTGCGTCTGAGTAAAATCGCGATTTGCATAGGAGAGGGGGGAGCGAGGGAAATTCCAAAATACACATTTTCTGGGTATTCACATAAGGCATCTTGGACTAAAATTTGGTGACCCTAGGTCTTATAGTCTCCAAGATATAGGATATAGATTATACGAATGGAAAAACGGGAAAACCCCCATAGGGGGAAGTGGGGGGAAATCAAAAAATAAAACAAACTTGCACAACGTACACACATAACGCATCTTTGTGCAAAGTTTGGTGTCTCTACCTCTTATAGTCTCTGAGATCCAGGTGTTCATACGGACAGACGAACAGACAGGGATAGATCGACTCGTCTCGTCATGCTGATCAAGAATATATACACTTGGTGGGGTCTGCCACGGCTCCTTCTGCCTGTTACATTTTCAGCTCCCGCAAACCTAATATACTCTTGTACATTTTATGTACAGAGCATAAAAAATGGCCAGAAACTCTCTCGGTATTCGAAGTCACCTAAAGGGTGTATAATTGTACATTTACATAGCAATTGCGCCTTTGTGAGTGTACGTATGCTAATGCGCGTCTATTCGTGTCTGTATAAGCATGTTTGCAGTCAACCAAAGCATCAGCATCATCAACAGCTGCGGGCAGCGCTTGAGCAGCAAATATATTTATGGCTATAACTTCCTGCTAAATAGGTCTATCATGATGAAACTTGGCATACGGACACATGAGCACTAACTGGGGCATTTACCAAGTTTGAGTTCCAACAATTACGGGAGTTACGATTTGCATGGGAGAGGGGGGACGGAGGGAAATTCCAAAATACACATTTTCTGCGTATTCAAATAAGGCATCTTGGACTAAAATTTGGTGTCCCTAGGTCTTAAAGTTGCCGAGATATAGGCGATTATACGAATGGAAAATCTGGAAAACCCCCATAGGGGGGAAGTGGAGGGGAAAATAAAAAAATAAAACAAACTGGCACAGCGTATACACATAATGCATCTTTGTGCAAAATTTGGTGTCTCTAGCTCTTATAGTCTCTGAGATCCAGGTGTTCATACGGACGGACAGACAGGGCTAGATCGACTCGTCTTGTCATGCTGGTCATGAATATACATACAGTGACGAACAAAATTATTGGCACAGTTGGCATGTCTGACTTTCGCACAGTGTTTCTCCATGAAATATGGTGATATTTAAATAAAACAAATTTTATTCATATACATTGATCAATTTCCTACTAAAATTACTTTATTTCATTCATTTATAATTTTCCATTAATTTAAGAAAATTAAAAATATAAAAAAACAGCCGTTTTCGCCTGAACAAAATTATTGGCACACTTAACCAAAAATACTTAAAATTAACATAAATAACCGTTTTTAAACATAAATTAATATTTTGTGGCTAAGCCCTTATGTTTAATGACTGCTTCCAAGCGTCTGGGCATCGAAGAAACCAAACTTTGAGTGGTTTCTGATCCAATATTGCGCCACTCCTCCACCAGTGCCACCTTCAGCTCGGCCTTTGTAGATATAGCGCGTTTTTTTACACGTCTATCTAATTCTTCCCACAAATGTTCAATGGGGTTTAGATCTGGAGATTGGGGCGGATGCGGCAAAGTATGTTTTACATGATGTGCAAGCCACATGCGCACATCATAAGCCGTATGCTTTGGGTCATTGTCGTGTTGAACCGTGAATGTGGCTGGTATGTTCAACTTTTCGGCAATTTTTTAAAGATTTCTCTTAAGGATATCTAAATAATACTTTTTGTCCATAGTTCCTTCTATAAATTCAAGTTCGCCAACACCACCAGCGGACATGCAGCCCCACACAATGACGCCTCCACCACCATGCTTTACAGACAAAGCGATGTTTTTTTTTTTTCCAGTTCCGTATTAGGCTTTCTCCAAACAGTTTGGCGGCCATCAGATTGAAAAATGTTGAATTTACTTTCATCGGAAAAGATGACATTGTTCCAAAAGTCCATCGGCTTACTCAAATATTCGTTTGCATAGGCTAAGCGCTTCTTCTGGTTGACTTTTGAAATAAGTGGTTTTCTTCTAGCAACACGGCACTTGTATTTAGCTTTGTGCAGTGTCTTCCGAACCGTAATCGGGTGAATATCTTTTCCAAATTCATTTTTAACCTCAGCTGCAATCTGTGTTGAAGAGATTTTTGGGTTCACCTTCACCTTCCTGATGATCTCGGTACGTTCCCGGTCGGTCAAAGCCTTGGGTCGACCAGTGTTCTTAGCACTCTCCAATGTTAAGGCTCCTTTAAAACGCTGGACAATGCTCTGAATGGTAAACCGGCTTCTATCCATAATTTCTCCAATCTCAGCATATGATTTGCCTTGATTATGCAAATACAAAATTATTTTCCGCTGAGATTCAGTGGTTTCCTTTTGTTTGCCGCTCATTTTGTTAAAATCTTAGAGATTTTGCTTATAAAAAGGCACTGCGTGGTTTTTAACTCAAACATTTACAACTATGTCATTCCAAATATAAACATAACGGGGTTTTGAAAAAAAATTTTGCCATATTGTTGAAATTTTGAAAATATAGTTCAATATTACCCAAGTGTGCCAATAATTTTGTTCAGGCGAAAACGGCTGTTTTTATATATTTTTAATTTTCTTAAATTAATGGAAAATTATAAATGAATGAAATAAAGTAATTTTAGTAGGAAATTGATCAATGTATATGAATAAAATTTGTTTTATTTAAATATTACCATATTTCATGGAGAAACACTGTGCGAAAGTCAGACATGCCAACTGTGCCAATAATTTTGTTCGTCACTGTATATACTTTGTGGGGTCTGCCATGCCTCCTTCTACCTGTTACATTTTTCACCTTCCGCAAACCTAATATACTCTTGTACATTTCATTTACAGAGTATAATGAACTCGTACTGCGTACACATAAAGGGTTTGTGTTAAAAACTTGGTGTACTTACCTCTCATAGTCTTTATGATACGGACGGACAGACAGATAGACAAGTCCAAATCGAGTAGTCTTGTCATGCTGATCAAAAATATGTATACTTTGCGGGGTCTGCCATGCCTCCTTCTGCCTGTTCAGTTTGCACAAACCTAATATACACTTTTATCTTTCAGATACAGGGTTTTATACCCTCTATCGCACTTTCTTAACATGTTGTTTTATCCTCAGCTTTGTGTTACCTTCTAAGGATGCAGATATGTATGTATGCATGTACTTACATACTTATGAATGTAAACACACAACATACTTCAATATGCACGTATGTACATACATACATATGTATGTATATACATATGCATGTACATACATATGTACACTCTGTATGTATGTGTATCTCCGTAATACATCTAAGGTATCGCAATGGTATAGAATGAACAAACTTGTGTATGTATATGCATTTTTTTCCTGGAATTTATGGAAGTTCAGCTTTAAACTTACTTAAATTTGTATGATTACACACGGGCTGTCACACTACACATGCCTTCAAAAATAAAAATAATATAATGCTAACATTTGGCAGCCTTCATTTTACATTTTTTAGAGTTACCAAATATTAAATGCAAGAATATACCGTTACAGGAATTTTTTATACCAAATTTTTATACCATATATACCATAATAATAATACCAAAATATGTTTAAAGAAACGTACAAATATTCAAATTTGTATTTTGGAAAGTATCAAATTTGGGGGTGTCACAGAATTCTATTCCGCCTCAAAACCAATTCGAAGTGCCACAGAAATCTCTTTTGGGAGGTTCCAAATCGTTTTGCCAGGAGTTTTGATTAAAAACACTAACATGGACATTTTTCCAACTAAAAAAAATCATTAGGAAATAAACCTTATACATTTTCAGAACAATGGAAATATTATTAAATTAGCAAATCTAAGGTACTAAAACACAAGCATTCACACACAGCATTCAAAAAAACCGCACAATAGAGATGCCCTATTGGCCCAAATAGAAAATTTAATTGTTCGAAAATCATATTTCGTTAAGTCTAAAGTTGTAAGTCAAACAAAAGTTAAAAATAAAATATATTTTTGACGGAATTCTTGTTTCAAATAAGTACCAAATAACTGTGTATTAATTAAACAAACTTAACGAAAATTATGTGACGTCAAGTGGCAGGTCTGTGTGTTAGCGAAAATATGAATGGCAGTAAACCGCAATTTAAAACAAGACAGAACGCTACAGTCGAGCAGGCCCGACAGTAAAATAGCCTGTACTCTCCACAAAAAAAGAAAAATGAAAAAAAATTGAATTAATTAACTAAATTAAATAAAATTTATTTAATATATACATAGAAGACATGCTTATGTACAGTTTCAACAGCATACATCATCAGGTCTATGCGTGTTTACATGCGTGTATGTATGCAGCACAAAGTTGAACCAAAGCAGCAACAACAACAACAGCTGCGGGCAGCGCTGTTGCTCAAGCAGAGCATGGGCAGCGATTTTATTTATGGCTTTCTTCAGAATTGACCTATCATGATGAAACTTATCATACAGACACATATTCACTAACTGGATGTGACTACCAAATTTGAGTTCGAAATTCCAAGAATTACGGGAGTTATCGGTAAAAACACGAATTGCGGGGGAGTGGAAAAGGGGGGGGGGGTGTATCAGAAAAAAAAACACAAACTCGATCTGCCTAGTGCTTAGGGGAACCTAAATGTATAGTTTGGTTATCCTAGCAATTGCAGTTGCTGAGATCCTTGCGCTCATACAGACAGACGGACGGACGGATGGACGGACGGACGGACAGACGCACATGCCCATATCGAGTAGTCTTGTCATCCTGATCAATAATATATATACTTTGTGGGGTCTGCCACGCCTCCTTCTGTGTGTTACATTCATCCGCACAAAACTAATATAGCCTTTTACCCGTTGGGTACAGGCTACAAAAATACAATTCGTACCAGTAAAACAAGGTATAACTACATTTTTGTAATTTCTGACTTCAATTTCAAATGCTAGTTTTTTGTAGGGGAAAACATAGATCCCCACAATAGTATGCAATTTTCGTCCAATTTATGGAAGCACACCACAACATTGCGCAAAATTCCAAATGTTACAAATTTAAATTTAATTTTTATACCCTGTACCCGTAGGGTAAAAAGGGTATATTAGGTTTGTGCAAAGTATGTAACATACAGAAGGAAGCATCTCCGACCCCATAAAGTATATATATTCTTGATCAGCATGACGAGAGAAATCGATCTAGACATGTCCGTCCGTCTGTCCGTCTGTCCGTCCGTCTGGATGAACGCGAGGATCTCAGAAACTATAAAAACTAGAATAACCAAAGTTGGCATCCAGATTCTCCTAGGCCCGAGTAAGGACGAGTTTATTTTATTTTTGGAATTTTCCCCCCCTTCCCCCGCTACAGAATTTCGTCAATAGCGTCCACATTTCAAATGCTACCTAAACCAAACTTTGCACACAAAATTTATATATAATTGTCTACTGTTGAATAAAATTTTATTCAATTCGGTCAATTCTAAGAAAAGTTATTAGCGAAACAAATTCTCGCCAGTACAACCCCCACAAACTGCAGCAACAAGTTGGCTCTTCTTCTTCCTCTTTTTGCTGCTGCTATGGGCGCATATAACTCAGTGACGGAAGTTTACCTGGGTACAGGGTATTACACTGTCGGGCTTGCTCGACTGTAGCGTTCTCTCTTGTTAATAAGCAACATAAGTGAAATTCTTTAGTGGGATCAGATGCGCATTTCAAACATTTGCGTTGTATTTTTTCAACATTTAAGTGGCGTTTTCGCAAATTCTCATGGGCCAATATTAATGCAAATGGCATATTGGTTTTTTATTTAACTTAGTACGTTACAAAATTTAAACACAATTAGTCAGTCAAATTTAATCGTCGACAGGATATACTTGTATAGGTTTAGTCAGCCAAATATAAGCGCCGACAGTCAACCGTGTCTCAGAGCTGGCATGGAGGAGAAGTTCGAAAATATGAAATCTTTCGAAGTTCTGTGGCATCACGATCAAATTGCGACAATTATGAAACCCATTCACAATCTGAAGCAGCAGCTTTTGATGACGATTTATTTGAAGGTGAAAGTTATAATTTGTTAGGGCTAACTCCCTCTTATCCTAGTTCTTATGCTATCATCTACATACTATAATCGATTCCTTATCTATGATAGACCGATTTAACAAGAAGTTATAGCCATCAGTATATTTGCTGCCCAAGCGCTGCCCGCAGCTGTTGTTGATGCTGGTGCTTTGGTTGACTGCAAACATGTTCACACAGACACGAGTAGAGGCGCATAAACATTCATACACTCACATAGACGAAATTGCTATGTAAATGTGCAATTATACAGCCTTTATTTTTTTTAATTTCTATCATTATTGTTTAGAATACTGTACAGAGTATTTCAAAGTCGGGGCACCCGACCTTAGCTTTTTACTTGTTATCTATAAGAATGTGATAATGTTCGTGGTCTAGACAGAACAAATCTAGATTATCAATAAATTACGTTTATTTAGGACCTCGAAGGGATTGAACATGCTCTCCACCTTGAAAGGACTCCCTTTCTACTAGTTAATTAATTATTTATTTATTTATTAAGTTTACTTATACATATAATTTTTTAGTTTTTATGATAAGCGTAAGGCGTAAGGCAAATGTTACGGGTAGAAATTGGGTGGATAGTTAGCACATCTCTTTAAATATGATTACGATCGACACGATGAGACCAAATCCGACAATCCAGGTGGTGATGCTGATACCATAAAGTACCATTAGATGTGTATCGAGACGAATTGAGAAATCGAAGATTGTTTGATTCTTGGGATATCACGTACCTTATACGTTTTGATTTCACCCCTCTACCTGTGGCTTATTTCAGGCAACTGGCTGGGCAGATTTACTGTTGGTAGACGGAAGTTTAGATCCATAGCAGCATCTTCGTATGCCCATAAGTTGGCTTCTTCGGTATGTAGGAAGCATCCTGTTGAGTTGAAGGATCCCTTGTTAAGGTGAAGGATCCCTTGACCAAATAAGGTGAGACTTGTGATATTTTGATATATATATAATAACAGCCTTTCCATCTTTTGGCAGTAACTTAGATTCGCTTTTGTTAGACCATAGAAACTGGCTGAATTGTCATCGGCGAGCATTTGAGTAAATTCGGGCTTACTACTGACGAATTGACCATCGTGTTGTGTGGGATATGGGTAGATTACATAAGCTCTCATTTTATTGTGATTTATTAATGGGACTCTTATGTTAAAAAACAGTGACGTACTTGTAGCCCTCGTTGCTATTTTTGCAATTTTACCCATCTCGAATGCATCCGTATCTGATAACTGGACTCCCTCAGCCATATTTAAAGCCATGACTTGAATCTGCTGTTCAAATTGCTTCAAAGACATCAAGTTCCCCAGAAAATTTCTAATACGGCAAGGATGTCATCGTTGTCTAGTTGCTTATTTATAGCACTTGACAACGTATATATCGTGTTGTTAATAACCTTGAAATTGTTCCAAATGACTTCATTCTGTTTCCGCATAATGGTTGTTGTAGCATCCTGCACTGATGACTGGTTACGAATGAGGTCCTGGAGATACTCCTCGTTGTTGAGCAATACGTCCGTCATACGTCTTCATCCATTAATCCAAACACGGCGGGAAAAATGTTGCCCATGAAACTGAGCGGCGCTCAAGGTTGTCGTCCTTTCTTGCTCCACTGATTTTGAACAATAATGTCGTTATTTTGTTGTAGCCTATTGAATTTGTTTTCTAACAGCTTCATCGTTGAGTCTAGAGTTGTGTCTTTTTGAATCTTCTCCTTTAGATTTTGTAATACGGACCAACATGCTATTATCCGATGCCTAAATGCCCAATACTCATCCACATTTGCGTGAAAAAGTATATTCTATGATCTCCGCGTCCGCGTCGCCAACGTTCTCAAAAAAAAAACCCTGCCTTATCT